AAAGATGGCAAAAGAAAGGCTGCGTATTCGGTACCCAAAAAAAAAAACCCATATATACAAAACTTTGCAAATATATAATTTTGGTGGCTAGCTTTGTGCTGAAATATTGAATGGTGGGCAGAGGAAAAGGGTTTAGCAGTTTGTTTTGGTACAGATCCAGAAAGAGACATGGGAAGCTTCTGGTTTCATATTCACCCAGAACCAAAATCCTAGCCCTAGCTGTAAACGAAAATGAAATATGTATATTTTTTATAATGTGGGAATAAAAAGATTATTGTAAGAAAGTTATACTAAAGGTTATAAATGGCGCAAAGGGGAGGGTTCTTCCATTCTTGTATATGTATAATATGTTTGATGCTGACTTTGCAATGACATGTTGCAGGCCACATTATGCAATCATCCTCTCTCTTTCTATCTAAAGTTTGAGACTTTACAGCATATATATATATATATATATGGGAAAATAGTGATCCCCATGTGCTCTCTATAATATTTATTATGTATTTTGAATGCTCGTTTAATTAATTATCTTCTCTTTCTTTCTTTTTCTTGAAGCTTATTTATTGAAAAGCCACCAGGATTTAAGCTTTCTTTGTATATTTGTTACTCAACTTTAACTGCAATATTTCAGCTTTAGGACATGGGTTCATTAATGTAATTGGCTCTCTCTTAAAAATAAAATCATTTTAAGGGATATATATTTATTTAAAACTTATAAAGTCAAAATGGGTCATTATGATGTTTAAGTAATAAAATCATTTGATGAGCCAAACTCAATGAAGCGTCGCATGATCATTTTGACTTGAATACTTCTCGTTTTGGTGGCCTGAATGATTAAAATGATGGAAAACAAATATATATATATATAAAATAATAATTCATGTAATTAAAACTTATTTTTTTCCTCTCAAAGATCAAAGTTGAGTTAGATTGTACATTTAGGAAGCGTTCTCAAAAATCAATTCTCTTTTAAAACAAAATTGTTTCGGTGTCAATTAAAGTTTCAGTAAGTCCTAGAAATCTTATTATTCACGTAAGAACTTATTCACAAAAATTTGCTAAGAAAGAACTCAGGTGTCTTCGTATATATTGTCGACTTTAAATACAATAAAGCTATCATTTACTTTTAATTTCATCCAAAAATTTTAGAGATAATTTTTAATCTCCTCATTTCCGTAAGACTTTTTTTGCACTACGAAACAAAAAAATTATATACATGCAAAACCATTCAAAATTTCTTAATAGAAAAAAGAAACGAAGAGTTTAATGAGAAAACTAACAAATTTAAAAAAAAAAAATTTAGTACACCATATGAGATGGAGATTGAACTCACAACTTTTTAATGTTCGCTTTGGCACAAATTCAAAAGCTTTTAAGTAATACAAAGTGTATATATTGATTTAATTTTTTCCCTAAATTTTAATACATAATTGTTACTTTTTTTTGAATCAATACATAATTGTTACATGTAACAGAACTAAAATATATAGAGACAAAATAAGGTTATAGAAGGTAAAAAAGATAAATTTATCATAAAGAAAGGAAAAAAAAAAAAAGAAACCTACCGCATTCACCTACCACATTTATCTTCCTAATTTCTTTAAA